GCTGCCCTCCGTGGGCCCGGTCCTGCAGGGCCTGGGGGGGCCGGCCACCCAGGACCGCGTGCCCTGGCTCACCCGTGCCGGACGCCGTGCAGGCAGCAGGCAGGGCCGCTCCTGCCTTCCCAGGCCAGGGCGTAGCCAGAAGCCAGCTCTGCGACCCGGCCTAACCCTGGGCTTCTGGGCGGGGGGAGGCGGGCCCTGGAGCAGGGACCGGGTTTTGGGGGCACTGGACAGCTCAGCGCCCCCCGTTCATCCCCTCAAGGAAGGAGCTGAAGAAAATGCAGGACCAGGATGAAGATGCTACGCTCACGCAGCTGGCCACCGCCTGGGTCAACTTGGCTGTGGTGAGCCCGGATGCCCGGGGGGTGAGGGGCGCCTGCCCCGCCAGCAGGGTCCTCCAGCCAGCTCCCACCCATTCCTGGCCGCTGGCTGCTCCTGTGGGAACCCCACCTTTGCCTTCCATGGCTCCTGCCCTCCCGGCTGGGTCCCTTTCCTGCTGGGCAGCTGAGTGGCCCACGCTGGCGTGGGAGGGCCAGCGCTCCTGGAGCTCTGTCCTTCGGGAGCCTGAAGCCACGTGTGGCTCTTCGCCCGCCTTCGCCCAGCCTGGGCACTGGTGCCCGGGCACAGCCTTCTGGGACTTGGCCGCTTTCCCAAGCGTGTCCAATCACACATCTCCCCACCCTCCCGTGGCGTGCGACCCACCAGGATGGAGCGCGAGGGCCAGCCGACTTGGTCTCTGGCTCCTGTGTCCTTGGCCAGTGGACAGGACACGGCTGCTGGTGGGGGAGTACCTGCTAGCCCTGCCAGGCGCGGTGCCCAGCCAATCCTGACAGCTCAGCACGTGGGGCGGGCCAGGCCCCAGGGACCCCAGCAGTGACAGCGGCGCCTCCTTGCAGGGCGGCGAGAAGCTGCAGGACGCATACTACATATTCCAGGAGCTGGCCGACAAGTGCTCCTCCACCCTGCTGCTGCTCAACGGCCAGGCGGCCTGCCACATGGCCCAGGGCCGCTGGGAGGCCGCCGAGGGCGTGCTGCGGGAGGCACTCGACAAGGTAGGGCGCGGGCGGGGGGTCAGCGACGGGGTTACCACTGCGTGCCGGCCGGGCCTGCCTGGCCCGCATGCAGAGCCGACAGCCCACGTGTGTGCTTTGGGTTTTGTGTTAGTCTGAAATGCAGCATTAGAGAGAGACAGAGTGAGAGGGGAGGAGATCTTCCACCCACTGGCTCCCTCCCTCCCCCGGCCAGGCCAGAGCCAGGAGCCGGGGTGTCTGCTGGGTCTCCGTCACGGGGGCAGGGACCCACATCCCTGGCCATCTTCCACTGCCTTCGCAGGTACACTGTTAGGGCGCTGGGTTGGATCCCAGAGAGGGCAGGGAGCAGCACCCCAAGGGGCAGCTGTGTGCTGTAACAGCAGGGGGCTTCGGCCGACATCCCACTCGCGTGGCAGGAACCCCGGGCCCTGCCGCTTCCCCATGGGGAGTGGGCCGTGTCGGGGAAACTGGCTCTGAGGGCCGGAGGGAGCAGCTGGGACTCCTCCCCCAGCACTCTCCATCAGGGGTTGTGGGGTCCCTCACAGCAGCCTAACCGCAGCTGCGCCCATCAGCCAAGGAGCTCGTGTCCCTCCTCCCCACCCCGTCACCCCCACCCTTCCTACCTTGTGGGAGGGACCGGAGTCTGGAGCTGAGGTGCCCACGGTGGCTCCCGGCCAGCCAGGGGCCTGACTGCCCACACCCCCACCCGGAGACGCTTCTGCTTTCCTCCTGGGGGGGAGTGGCCAGTGAAGCCTTGCCCCCTCGTCCCCGCCAGCCCAGGCTCCCTGGTGGTGGTGGTGGGGTGGCCCGGAGGTGCTGGCCCGGTGACCCCAGCCCGTGTCTGGCCCGTGTTTGCAGGACAGCGGCCACCCGGAGACGCTGATCAACCTGATCGTCCTGTCGCAGCACCTGGGCAAGCCGCCAGAGGTAGGCTGCCTGTGCCCCGTCAGCCGCGCACACGTGTGCCCGGGCGTGGCCGTCTCCGCTCAGGGTCCCAGAGGACTCGGCTCACCAGCTCCCTGCCAGCGGGCAGCAGCAGGCAGGCGTCGCCTATCCCCACCAACCAAGGCCACGTGGGGGCCCTGACCTGTGCCACCTTAGGGAAGGGGTGGGCACGTGTGGGACACCCAATATTGCAGGGAGCAACCCAACTGGGGGTAGAGGAGGAGCAGGGCCTGCTTTGGGGAGGTGGTTACCCAGCCCCTGGCACCCCAGGGTGTCACCCTGGCCAGCCGCAGGGACAGTGTGGTCCCCAGTCCTGCCAGCCGAGCCCGGAGGCAAGCGTGGCAGACCGTCCAGAGCCCCAGCTCCCACCCCTGGCTTCCCTCCCCGGGGACCCCTGGGCCTCCCTCGGGGGGTGCCCCTCTGGCCTTCCTGCTGGAACTTATTCCAAGGCATGGGCTGTGATGAAGGTCCGGGGCGGGGCTCTCACTGCGCCCCGAGGTTGCCTTGCCAGTCGGGGAGCTCAACTGGGTTTGGTTCACCCCACCTCCCCCACAGGTGACAAACCGCTACCTGTCACAACTGAAGGACGCTCACAGGACCCACCCCTTCATCAAGGAGTACCAGGCCAAGGTGGGCCCCCGTGGGCAGCTGGGCAGAGGCCGGGCTGGGGTCTGTGAGCCCCCGTGGGTGGCTGGGCAGAGGCTACGCTGGGGTCTAAGCTCCCGTGGGCGGCCGGGCAGAGGCCAGGCTGGGGTCTGAGCTCCCGTGGGCGGCCGGGCAGAGGCCGGGCTGGGGTCTGTGCTGACCCCGGCTCTCTCTCCCTGCACCGGCCTCGGCGCTGAAGGAACATGACTTTGACCGACTGGTGCTGCAGTACGCGCCCAGCGCCTGAGGCCTGGAGCCCCGGTGGCCTTCACCCCAGCCCCGTCTCCCCGTCTGCAATAAACGCCTCGATGCTGTGTCCTCGCCTCTGCTGGACCTGAAGCTGCCCGCACACGCTCACTCACACACACAGTGCCTAAATGCAGGGGGTCCTGCCGGGGCCCGTGGCACCCAGAGGTCACACACACCTCGTGTGGGATGCAGGGACCCAGACCCATGCCGCTCAGGTGACTTGGGTGGTAAGGGCACATGGGGGCTAGGAGCGTGAGGCCTGGCCCCCCAAAGCAAGGAGTCTCTGTGTGGGCCGACTGTTCCCCCTGGGCGCTGGGCTTTCCGGGCAGTGGGCACAGTGGGCACAGCTGGTAGGTGCCGACACCCCGCAGGGCTCTGGGCTTGCTGACGGCGAGCTGGCCAGGGCCGCCTGCCTCTCACTGGGGCCCAGGCCTGCTCTGCGGGCCTGGCTGGGGAGGGCGCGCCCTGGGCAGGAATGTTGGGGTTGGGGGCTGCGGAGTGTGGGAGAGACCCCGGTGGACCTCACCTAGGGTCCGGAAGCCAGCTGCGGGAGCCGGTTTCCATGCGCGCCTGGCCCCCGTCACGGCAGAGTGCAAAGGAAACTGGAGGCCGGGCTGGAGCCAGGGGCTCCTGCATCGCCAAGGCTGCTGTGGTCAGCACTGAGGGGGAGGCGTGGCTGGGTGCCCCCCACAGCCACACGCAGCATCATTCACCTGGGCCGACTGTTGACCGAGCCTCGAGTCCCCACACCCCCACAGGACCCGTCACCTTGCTGTCCGAGCCGCTGGCCAGCCAGTGCACGTGGCAGGATTCGGGTCTGGGTGGGCCGCAGAAGAGGCTGTCGTGTGCTGACGGCTGCTGACAGGGAGGGCTGGGGGTGGGGGATAGGGTGGTAGGGTGGGGGGCTCTGGAGGGGGAGTGGCAGGGCTGGGGCTGGAGGCCGTGGGAAATGGGGCCGGGTCAGGCCGGGCTGCACGTGAGGCCCCGGTGCCCACGCCCGGGCCTCGCCTGTGCACCTGTGCCCATCCGCCCTCCTCCGCGTCCTGCCGCAGGTGCATGTCAGCACAGGCCGCAGCAGGCGCACCTGGTGAGAGACGGGACGCCAGTGAGGGTGTGACGGCTCCCTGAGACCCTGCCTGTGTGCCCGAGGGTGCCACGGCGGGCCCAAAGTCCCCTCACCTCACGATGGGGTGAGGGTTCAACACCTGCTGAAGGTCAGGCGCAGGCGGGGAGCCCCGTGGCCTTGGCCCGGGGCCAGCTCCCGTGAGGCAATGACCCGTGAGGTGCTGAGGTGACCTGTGAGGGCTGTTGTCTGGCTGGGTACATGTGGGCGGTAGCAGAGGTGGGTCTTACAAAAGATTTATTTATTTGAAAGAGATCATGGGCCCGGCACGGTAGCCCAGTGGCTAAGGTCCTTGCTTTGCACACGCCAGGATCCCATAGGGGTGCTGGTTCTAATCCCACCTAGCTCCCTGCCTGTGGCCTGGGAAAGCAGTGGAGGACGGCCCAAAGCCTTGGGACCCTGTACCCGCGTGGGAGACCCAGGAGAGGCTCCTGGCTCCTGGCTTCAGATCAGCTCAGCTCTGGCCATGGTGGCCGCTTGAGTGAATCAGCTGACAGGTTTTTCTCTCTGTCTCTCCTCTGCACATCTGACGCTCCAATTGAAAAATAAATAAATCTTAAAGGCGTACTGTGCCCATTGGCCGGCTCCAGGTGTGGTCACAGCAGCCAGGGCTGGACGCAGACCCGAGCCAGGGGCCGCCGTCTCCTGTGGGTCCTCTCCGTGGGCTCCCCGGTCACTGCCGCGTTACCCCGCTGGGTTCCCAGGGTCAAGGCGGTAGGTGAGGGTCGGGTAGAGGCCACCCCTTTCCTGCGAGAGCCCCCTCGTAGCCATGGGGTCCCCGGCAGCCAGCCAGCTGCAGGGCGCGGCCCCGTGGGCCGACGGGACGGACCCAGGGCCCGGAGGCAGGCTGCAGGGCCCGAAGTGGGTCGGTCCGGCTACAGCAACAAACAGCAGGTGCCTGGCCAGCTCCATCCACTGCGCGCTGGGAAAGCTAGCAGAGCGCGGGCGGGCGCGTGGTGGCCGCGCCCCCGCCGGGGCGGAGCTCGCGCCGGTCCGCGCGCCCACGGCCCAGCTGCGGCGCGTGACGCGGGGCGCGCGGCTCCGGCGGCCACCTCGGGCGGGTGCAGGCGGCGAGGCCGGAGGGCGGCATGGCGGCGGTGGCAGCAGCGGCGGGGCCCTCGGGGCCCGAGCCCATGCCCAGCTACGCGCAGCTGGTGCAGCGCGGCTGGGGCACCATGCTGGCGGCCGCGCGGGGCTGCGCCGACTGCGGCTGGGGGCTGGCGCGCCGCGGCCTGGCCGAGAACGCGCACCTGGCGCCGCCCGAGCTGCTGCTGCTGGCGCTGGGTGCGCTCGGCTGGACAGCGCTGCGCTCCGCGGCCACCACGCGCCTCTTCCAGGTCAGTGGGGCCGCCGGTCTGGACGTGGGGACCCCGACTTTGAGGAGGAGGGGAGGCCCCCAGACTGTGCTTTGCGCCCTTTCTCACAGTGCTGGTTGGGGACGAGGTGGGGACGGTGTCACTGCGACGTGGACACCTGGAGCTCCGGGCTGGGCCCTCCGGAGCCACCGCGCTCACGTCAGCGCACGCAGGGTGCGGGTGGATGCGGGGGTGTGGCCAGGCCAAGGTGAGCCCCGAGACAGTGAAGAGGTTGCCCTGTGCTTGCGGGGAACGTTCCAGACACGGGTGCGGAGGACCGCGGCAGGACCCTTTTACTGAGACAAAGGGTAGGGCGGGGGGCTCACAGGCTCAGGACGCGTTGCCAAGGGCTCGGTGCCAGGGGGCTCCCCGGCCATGCTGCGTGCTATCTGACGTCAGCACCACCCTGCCGGGCGCTGGGCCCCAGCAGGGGTCGCTCCCTTGGAGGGGACGGCCTCTGGGGGGGCTCCTGGAGCAGCATGCCCTCAGCCGGAGAAAGCCACCGCCCCATTCGGATGGTGGCCGTGCTGGTGACACTGTCCCCTGACCGCTCCTCCTCCATCCCCGCCTGCCGTGTCTGGGGAGGGGGTCGCTGTTGCAGGAGCTAGTGGGCAGACGGTGCCTGGCTGGACTGTGACCCGGTCAGCCGCCCCAGTGTGGCTGGAGAAGCTGGAGGGTGAGGGGACAGAGCCGGGATCAACAAAGGGGCCTTTCTCTGCAGCCTGGCAAGAGGCGGACCCTTGTTGGTGCCAAACGGGATGGTGTGTTCTGGCGGCCCGCTGAGCCCATGTCCCCCACTCACCAGGGCCGAGGACCCCTGCTCACCTCTCCCCACCCCTACCCGGCTCGCTGCGGAGGGGAGGCGGGATGACCGGGTCAGCCCTGGTCCTTCCCCATCGAGCTGGGGCAGGGAGGGCGAGGGGAGGCCTGGGGTGGGGATGCTGTGGGAGGCCGCGGCCTCTCCGGGGCTGGCAGGGAAGAGGGCAGCAGTGGTTCCCTGCCCGAGCTGCCGGGGGAACCTGCCGGGAGGGACAGCACAATTTCCCTCCGCAGAAATGAGCCCCTGGCTCCCCGGCCCTCCCTGGCCTGGGTGAGGCCGTTCCCAAGAAGTGGGCGGAGGGCCGTCCGGGCTCCCAGTGCGCATCTTCTTGGCAGCAGCCTGGTTGCCAGGGGTTACAGGAGCTGGCTCTGGCTGTCTCCATGACAACCCCGGGGTGCTCTGGGCACCCGGCCCCCTCAGCCTTGGAGCAGAGCAAAGGGGCGGGGCCGCGGCCTGGCCACGCGGCTCTGGAGCCCCGCCCCTGGCCACACCCACCCGGCCCCGCCTGACACACCTGGACAGGTGCGCCTCACCCTGGCGTGCCACGACCTCGCCAATATTCCTTCCTTGGGCCTCGGGCGCCTTCCCACTCCCATCCCGCGCTCGCCCCCACATCCTAGCACCTTGCTCGTGCTTACTGCTGTCCCCCAGCACCCCTCTTCATGACTCCCCAACTTGCCCCTCTCAGGATCCCCCACCTATCTTTCCTGCTCCCCCAAGCTCCATGTTGCCTTCGTGGACCACCGGTGGCCCCTCCCACCTTCTCCTTCAGCCTCTGCCGTCCCTGACCGTGGCACCCCCTCACCACCACCACGGGGAGGCCTGTTGGCCGACCCCACGGAGGTCCCTTGCTGTCAGCCCCCTCCTGGTAGGGGGCTTCCTTCTCTCTTGCCACTCACAGTCTGTCCTCCCGCCCTGCCCCGCGGTGGGGGTGGGGGCCGCCTCCGAGGCCCGACAGCTGGTGTCTAACTTTAGCCCTTGGCACCTGCTGCTAAGATTCTGGGCTCTGGTGACGCTCCAGTTGGCCCTGGAGGCCGGGCGCTCCTGGGGGACACCTGGCCTGCGAGGTGGGTGTCTTCCGCACCCTGGAAGGGACAGCCCTTAGTCCTCGCCCGCCTTTTCCAACCGGCTGCCTCCCCCCACACCCCTCCCTGCAGCCCCTGGCTGAGCGGTGCCGCCTCCAGCCCAGAGATGCCGCCAGGATGCCCGAGAGTGCCTGGAAGTTTCTCTTCTACCTGGCGTCCTGGACTTACAACACCTACCTGCTCTTTGGCACGGAGTACCCCTTCTTCCACGACCCGCCCTCTGTCTTCCACGGTAGGGGCCCTTTGGGGTAAGGGTGGAGGGCCGCACATCCCAGCAGCCGGTTCAAGTCCCGGCTGCTCCACTTCCAATCCTGTGCCTGGGAAAGCCCACGTGTTTGGGTCCCTGCCGCCCACAGGGGCAGCCGCTGCTGGAGCTCCTGGCTCGGGCCCGGCTGTTGTAGCCATGCAGGGAATGCAGCCATGAATGCAAGGTCTCCCTCCATCCCAGAGACACAAGCGTGGAGCTGTCAGACCAACACCTGCCTTGCACTCTGATCTCTTTGAGAGAACCCCCACCTGCTGGGCCACTTCCCAAATGGCAGTAACAGCCAGGAGCCAGGAGCCTCTTCCAGGTCTCCCACGCGGGTGCAGGGTCCCAAGGCTGTGGGCCGTCCTCCACTGCTTTCCCAGGCCCCAGGCAGGGAGCTGGATGGGAAGTGGGGCAGCTGGGACATGAGTCAGTGCCCGTGTGGGATGCCAGTGCCAGAGGCAGCAGCTTCACCCACTAGGCATGGCGCTGGCTCCTCCACCAATTCTGATTGAAAGGGCGAGTGTGCTGTGGGCACAGCCGTGGGACCAGGAGGTGGCCCGGGTCGGAGAGGCGGCATGTGAGGGTTCCACGCTGCTGGGTGGCGTGGCTCTGGCAGCAGCTGGTCAATACCTTGCCCCCTGGGTCTAAGGAAGGTGAGAGTAGGGGAGCAGAACTCGGGGGACCCTGAGCCCGTCCCCCTTCATGGATGCCAGGGGCGGTCCCCAGGGGTTTCAGCACAGAAAGCGCCTGCAGCAGGAGCTGGGCGCGAGGCTGGGTGAGCTCAGGCGGAACGGGATCGGGGTGGCCCCAGGGTGCTGTGACGAGCGAGGGGAGCTGGGGCCTGGGAGCCTGCTCTGTAAGCGGACAGCCTGCCCTCGGGGCCGGGAGCAGCCCCAGGGTCTCACTGGGTGGGTTCAGGGCTGGGTGGGGACGGGAGTCGGTGGTTTGGTAGTTCGGAATTGTGAATATGGCGTAGCCATGTTCCTCCTGGAGTGGTGAGGGTGCTGACTCAACAGGCAGAGTTTAGTTTTCTTTTTGTAAAGATTTATTTATTTTTATTGTAAAGTCAGAGATATAGAGAGAAGAGGAGAGACAGAGAGGAAGATCTTCCATCCACTGGTTCACTCCACCAAGTGGTCACAACGGCCGGAGCTGAGCCGATCTGAAGCCAGGATCCAGGAGCCTCTTCTGGGTCTCCCATGTGGGTGCAGGGTCCCAAGGCTTTGGGCCGTCCTCCACTGCTTTTTCAGGGAGCTGCCCAGCTGGGACTCGAACCGGTGCCCGCATGGGATGTGGCCTCTGCAGGTGGAGACTGCACTTGCTAAATTTTGGCTCCCCCCCCCCTATTTTTTTAAATAAAAATAACAGTTGCTTGTGACAACTGCCAGGTGGAGAATGGAGAATGGACGGGAGCAGAGGCCACACTGGCACTCGGAGGTGGCGCTGGGGGCAACACCTAGGCTGCCGGACACAGTCTGACCCCATGTGCCTTCCTCCAGGCTGGACGCCGGGCATGGCCGTGCCCCGGGACATCGCGCTCATCTACCTGCTTCAGAGCAGCTTCTACGGCCACTCCATCTACGCCACGCTCTACATGGACGCCTGGCGCAGGGACTCGGTGGTCATGGTGCTGCACCACGTGGTCACCCTCCTGCTCCTCGTGTCCTCCTACGCCTTCCGGTGAGCGGCACACGGCCAGGGCGGGGAAAGGCCATGGGCGGACAGTCCCGGTCAGCCACGGGCTCTCCGGCTGCCTGCAGGCGTGCCCAGGCGTGGGGAGGCAGGCCGGGCCTGGCAGGTGCACGCCCTGGGCAAGCTGGGGTCTGGGCAGGGGGTCGTCCCTGCGGGGAGGGGGCAGTGGTCCAGGTCCCGTGTGAGGGTCCCGTGTGGGGTCCCCGTGTGAGGGTCCCGTGTGGGGTCCCGTGTGAGGGTCCCGTGTGAGGGTCCCGTGTGAGGGCCCCGTGTGAGGGTCCCCGTGTGAGGGTCCCGTGTGAGGGCCCCGTGTGAGGGTCCCGTGTGAGGGTCCCCATGTGAGGGTCCCCGTGTGAGGGTCCCCGTGTGAGGGTCCCCGTGTGAGTGTCCCGTGTGAGGGTCCCCGTGTGAGTGTCCCGTGTGAGGGTCCCCGTGTGAGTGTCCCGTGTGGGGTCCCCGTGTGAGAGTCCCGTGTGGGGTCCCCGTGTGAGGGTCCCCGTGTGAGGGTCCCCGTGTGAGGGCCCCGTGTGGGGTCCCCGTGTGAGGGTCCCTGTGTGGGGTCCCGTGTGAGGGTCCCATGTGAGGGTCCCGTGTGAGGGCCCCGTGTGAGGGTCCCGTGTGAGGGTCCCGTGTGAGGTTCCCGTGTGAGGGTCCCCGTGTGAGGGTCCCCGTGTGAGGGTCCCAGTGTGAGGGTCCCCGTGTGAGGGTCCCGTGTGGGGTCCCTGTGTGAGGGTCCCGTGTGAGGGTCCCGTGTGAGGGTCCCTGTGTGGGGTCCCCGTGTGAGGGTCGCTGTTCCCCCAGGTACCACAACGTGGGCGTCCTGGTGCTCTTCCTGCACGACATCAGCGACGTGCAGTTCGAGTTCACCAAGCTCAACATCTACTTCAAGTCGCGCGGCGGATCCTACCACCGGCTGCACGCGCTGCTGGCGCTCGTGGGCTGCGTGAGCTTCAGCGTGGGCTGGTGAGGGCGGGGCCTGCGGGAGGGCGGGGCCTGGCAGAATGGGCGGGGCCATTTCGTTCAAGTGGGCGGGGTCTTCCTTTGCTCACCAACCTGACAGCAGGGAAGGGGAGGCTGAGTGTGTGTGTGTGTGTGTGTGTCCATCCCGTGTGTGTCCATCCCGTGTGTGTGTGTCCATCCCGTGTGTGTCCATCCCGTGTGTGTGTATCCATCCCGTGTGTGTCCATCCCGTGTGTGTGTCCATCCCGTGTGTGTCCATCCCGTGTGTGTGTGTCCATCCCGTGTGTGTCCATCCCGTGTGTGTGTGTCCATCCCGTGTGTGTCCATCCCGTGTGTGTGTGTCCATCCCGTGTTGTCCATCCCGTGTGTGTGTGTCCATCCCGTGTTGTCCATCCCGTGTGTGTGTGTCCATCCCGTGTTGTCCATCCCGTGTGAGCCCGTGGCCCGCCCTGCCCGCAGGTTCTGGTTCCGGCTCTACTGGTTCCCGCTCAAGGTGCTGTACGCCACGGCGCACTGCAGCCTGCGCGCGGTGCCCGGCATCCCTTTCTACTTCTTCTTCAACGGCCTGCTGCTGCTGCTCACCCTCATGAATCTCTACTGGTTCCTGGTGCGTGCCCCCGTCCCCGTGCCCGTCCCCGTGCCCCCTGTGCCCCCGTCCCCGTGCCCCCTGTGCCCCTGTCCCCGTGCCCCCTGTCCCCGTGCCCCCCGCCCCTGTGCCCGTCCCCGTGCCCCCTGTGCCCCCGTCCCCGTGCCGCCCACCCTGTGCCTGCCCCCGGGCCCCCCATGTCGCCCGCCCCCATCCCCCCATCCCTGTGCCCCCCGTCCCCGTGCCCGTCCCCGTGCCCCCCGTGCCCCCCGTGCCCCGTCCCCCGTCCCCGTGCAGGGCCTGCGGGCTGGGTGCCTGTGTCTCACCCGCGCCCCTCTCGCACCCCGCAGTACATCCTGGCCTTTGCCGCCAAGGTGCTGACAGGCCAGCTGCGGGAGCTGCAGGACCTGCGTGAGTACGAGCCCACGGAAGCACGGAGCCCCAAGCCCAGCAAGGCCGAGTGAGTGTGCCCGGGGAGGCAGGGGAGGCAGGGGAGGCAGGCACGCTGCAGGAGGGCGGGCAAGCCCAGGAATATTCTGGAAGGTGTTGATAAGGCAGCCCCGCCCCCGCAGCTCCGCCAGTCTTGACGGGATGGGGTGAGGCGAACATGAGGTGCGTGGATTCTGAGACTCGGCCAGGCGGGTTAGGTCACTGCGCATGCCACGTCAGAGCCCGGGGTTCGAGTTCCGGCAGCTCCCTTCCCTGCTCGTGGCCCCTGTCCCCACACGGAGACCGGCGGGAGCTCCGGCTGCAGCCCTGGCTGGTGCAGGCGCTCGGCAGCTGATCCCTGTGCGCCTGCACGGCCGGCGGTGGCAAGGATGACATGCCATGCGCACCCCTGCGCTGGCCCTTGGGGGGCGTTGACCCCCAACTTTCTGAGGCCTCCTTGCACTAAAATACATGTATATATTGGGAAGGCAGAGTTCCAGAGGAGCGGAGAGCGCTCCCCGAGCCGCTGGCTCCCGCCTCTGCACCTGCCTCTCGGGTCTCCCCTGTGGGTGGCGGGGGTCCGAGCCACAGGGACCCCCACTTGCGGCCTTGCGCAGAGCTGGGCTGGGAGCCGAGCTGGCTCCCTGTGGGACGGTGCAGGCCTGAGTCCAGCGTGCCCGGCACCAGGTGGTCCGTCTCCACCAGCCCCGTGCGCACAGCTCGCGTCTGCAGAGCGATGCAGCCTCCGGGTGCTTGCTGGTCCGCATGGCGGGCAGCAGGCAGGGGTGGCTCACCCGGGCCGGGGAGCCCCTGCACGGTGGTCTGGGGTCCCAGGGGTGGGGGGCAGGTCACGACCCCGGCCCCGGGCGGGAGGAGCCGCGCTGCGCCTCCTGGGCTGAGCTGCCCGGTGCCCCCTGCAGGAAGCCCCTCAAGAACGGCTTGGTGAAGGACAAGCGCTTCTGAGGCTCCGCCCACCGCCGGCCCCACCCACGGCCCCGGCCACGCCCACCGCAGGGCCGGACCACGCCCACCGCCCTGACCAAGGCCAACAACCGGCCTAGGTCACGCCCACGGTCCTGACCACGCCCCCCAAGACAAGGTCACGCCCACAGGCCTGACCTGGAGACTAGGGCGCAGGCCACGCCCCAGGATTCCCGGCCACGCCCCTCGGCGGCTCTCGCACACCCTCGGCCCCGCCCCCGCAGGCTCCGCCCCGGTGGGCCCCGCCCCCGCAGGGGTCCCAGGCGCGGTCAGCGCTGCCCACTCCGGCCGCGCGTCGCCAGCGGGGAGGATGCTGCTGCCCGCTCCCAGCCGCGCCCGGGGCCTGCTCCTGCTGCTGGCGTTGCTGCTGCGCTCGCCGGCCCCCGCGGGCGCCCCCGGCCCCGACCCCGGCCCCGACCCCGGCCCCGGCCCCGACCCCGGCCCCGACCCCGGCCCCGACCCCGACCCCGGACCAGATCCCGGCCCCGGCCTCGACCCCGGCCCCGACCCTGAGCCAGACCCCAGCCCCGAGCCAGACCCCGGCCCCCGCCCCGGCCCCGCAGCCCTGCTCCGCGCCCTCGGGCTCCGCGACGCGCCCCGCGCCGCCCCCACGCGCCGGCCCGTCCCCCCGATCATGTGGCGCCTCTTCCGCCGCCGGGCCCCCCGGGAGGCCGGGGCCAGCACCCCGCGGCGGCCGTGCCACGTGGACGAGCTGGGGGTCGCCGGCAACATCGTGCGCCACATCGCGGACCCCGGTGAGTGGGGAGCGGGGGTCCCCGTCCTGGCCAGCCCGCGCCCCGCCGGGGTCCCCACGTCACCCCGTCCGTGCCTTCCCCGCCAGGTGCACCGGCGCGGACCGCGTGGCCCGCCGCGCCCGCGGGGCCGTGTCCCGAGTGGACCGTGCTCTTCGACCTGGCGGCCGTGGACCCCGCCGAGCGGCTGAGCCGCGCCCGCCTGGACCTGCGCTTCGCGGCGGCGACCCCGGCCCTGGCCCCGGCGGGCGGCTGGGAGCTGAGCGTGGCCGGGCCCGCCTCCCCGCCGCTGCGCCAGCCGGTGTCCGGCCTGGAGCGCCCGGTGCGCGCCGAGCTGCCCGCCGCCTGGGCCCGCAACGCCTCGGCGCCCCGCAGCCTGCGCCTGGGGCTGGCCCTGCGCGCCCGGGAGCCCGCGGCCTGCGCGCGCCTGGCCGAGGCGGCGCTGCTGCTGGTGAGCCTGGACGCGCGCCGCTGTCCCGCGCCGGGCCGGGCCAGGCGCCAGGCGGAGCCCGGGGGAGCCGGGGGGCCCGGGGGACACGGGGGGCACGGGGGAGCCGGGGGGCACGGGGGAGCCGAGGGGCCCGGGGGACACGGGGGAGCCGGGGGAGCCGGGGGACACGGGGGAGCCGGGGGAGCCGGGGGTCCCGGAGTGCCCGAGGGGCGCGGGGGTCCCGGGGCCGGCTGCCGCGCGCGCCGCCTCTACCTGAGCTTCCGCGAGGTGGGCTGGCACCGCTGGGTCATCGCGCCGCGCGGCTTCCTGGCCAACTTCTGCCAGGGCGGCTGCGCGCTGCCCGCGCCCGGGGGCCCGCCGGCGCTCAACCACGCGGTGCTGCGGGCGCTCATGCTGCACGCGGCGCCCGGCGGTGCGGGCGGCCCGGCCTGCTGCGTGCCCGCGCGCCTCTCGCCCATCTCCGTGCTCTTCTTCGACAACAGCGACAACGTGGTGCTGCGCCACTACGAGGACATGGTGGTGGACGAGTGCGGCTGCCGCTGAGCCGGCCCGACACCCCGACACCCCGAAACCCTGACACCCCGTCCCCGCTGAGCCCCGACACCCCGACACCCTGACACCCCGTCCCCGCTGAGCCCGACACCGACCCCCGACCCCGCTGAGCCCCGACCCCAACACCCCGGGGCGCCCCGACACTCCCGCCCCCTCCCCCGCGGAACCCCGACCCGAGCGAGCGCGAGAAAGCAGCCCGTGTTTGTTGTTAACATTTTATTGGTGACAAAGAGCTTAAAACAAATGGACCAGAAACCAAGTGCCGTGGCCTCCGTGCAGCCGCCCTCCTCGACCGGCCGCGGGCGGGGTGCGGGACATGCTGGACAGTCGGGGCCGCGAGGGGCTGGGGGCCGCTCCGACGGGGCCCACGGGGTCCACGCGCCCCGCTCGCTCCTCTCCCCCGCGCCGGGAGCCCCTCCGGCCGCGCCCCTCGTGGTCCGCGCTCCGCGGCGCCGTCCACACTCGCTGCACACGGGTCTCGGAGACAAACTCGGCAAAGTGTGGCTTTTTTTTTCTTAGCACTTCTTGAAAGAATCTCTCGGAAAAAAAGAAAGAAGGCAAAAGAAAAAGAAAAACAAAAAAAGCAAAACGAACCAAAAAACAAACGGAAACCCCCCTGAACCCCCTAGTTTGCTTCAAATGAGCCCGGGAGGCCCCGCTCCTCCGGGCCGCCTGCGCGTGGCGGGGGGCTCGCCGGCTCCTGCTAAAACGTAGTCCCTTCCGTGCAAGAGGAAGCACAGAGCACGGAGCACTCGCTCCCGGGCCGGCTCCTCCGCCGCGGCCTCCGGGCTGCGCGCCGGGCCGCCTGCCGTCTCCCTCTCCTCTGGCGCGGGCTGCGCGCTCGCTCCGCCGCGGCTCTCCTGCTCCTGCCGCCCGCACGGCCGCGCTCAGTTTTAGCAGTGGAGAACAGGTATCCGTTTATTTTTATTGTTTATTACCCAGAAGACGACGCCGATGGACTAAGCCTCGCAGCTCAGCTCTTCCGCTGCCACCTGTGGGCCGGGCGAGGGGCGCCGGTCAGGGTGCTCGCCGCCCGTCAGGGGTGCTCCCGCCCGTCAGGGGTGTCCCCGCCCGTCAGGGGTGCTCGCCGCCCGTCAGGGGTGCTCCCGCCCGTCAGGGGTGTCCCCGCCCGTCAGGGGTGTCCCCGCCCGTCACGGGTGCTCCCGGCCCGCCCTGGGCGCCCCGCTTGCCTTCTAGTACTGGGACAGCCCCGTCACCCCGCCGTGCTGGTAGGCGCGCTCCCCCTGGTAGGTGGAGTCTTGCGACAGCGCCACATCGATCTGAGATTTAAATTCGTCACCGAGGTAGCTGTCCTGGAAGACGAGGGGGGTGAGCGGCGGAATGTTCTGGACCCGCTCCCGGCAGGCGCGGGTGGCCGGGGACTCACCTGGGACAGCTCCGGCTGCGAGAGGCCGGGCTGGCTCATCTGGGAGGGCTGGCTCATGGAGATGTAGCCCTGCGTGAGCGCGCCCTGCGAGAAGGGCTGCGACGCCACGTCCTGGCTGGCCTGGCTGCTGGGCAGGGTGGGCTGGCTGGGCCCCGGCAGCCCAAAGCGGTTCTTCTGGCGCCCCCCACGGCCGACCTTCCCTTTGGGGGTGCCCCGGCCTGCAAGAAACAGCCCCGTGTGACCTGGAGGGCGTCCGGGCGATCACAGCGCAGGGCCCAGCTGGACACAGGGCGCTGCCGGGCCTGCGGGCACGCGGCTCACCTGCGGCCGGCCCGTTGGCCTGCCCGAAGTAGCCCGGCGGCGGCATGGGCGGCATGACCAGGTTGAAGGGGATGGGGATGTTCATGGCGGCCACGTGGCTGGGCCCCGCGCTGATCATGCCGATCTGGTCGTGCGTCTGGAAGTACATGTTGGAGGGCCGGCCTGCGGGACGGCGGGTGCGTGAGCCGGAGGAGCAGCGGGAGGAGCCGGAGGAGCAGCGGGAGGAGCGGGAGGAGCTGGTGGGCGGGGCGGGCCCTCCCCTGGGGTCAAGCAGGGCTCAGAGCAGAGAGATGGAAGGTTCTAGGCCCGCAGCAGGGGGCCGGGCGGGCGTGGGAACGCTCACCCTGGCTGCTGCGGTCGTACACGGAGCCCGGGATGATGGCCTCGCGGGCGTCGTACATGGCCGTGCTCATGAAGCGGGCGCCCTGCGGGGCGGCAGGCGGGGAATGTGTCACCTCCGTGTCGCCCGGCAGGGCTCCGGGCCAGGCCCGCCCGTGCCCCCGTGCCCGCACGCCCACCGGGTTGATGGTGTTGACCAGCTTGCGCGGCTTGCTGAACTGCATGAGGCTCTCGCGTAGGTTGTTGAGTGGCCCCTCCACCAGCACCTTCTGCTCCTTGTAGTAGTTGAGCAGGTGGTTCCACAGCGGCTGCTTCGACAGCGCCTTCGGGTTGCCCACGATGATCACGCCGTACCTGCCCGGCCCCGGGCGTGAGTGCGCACACCCAGCACCCCACGGGGCACACACACACAGGCCCCCCGAAAGCCCTGCTGGGAGCCCCTTTGCCCCACCACTGACCGGAGACTAAAGGCTGGGGTGGCACCCAGGACCCAGCGTGGCATGTGCGGGGCGGTCGGCACTGCCGTGGCCCGCGGGCACCCCAGCCTGCCGGCCTCTTGCTCTGTCACCCCGGGGGCCGCGCGGGACGCACCTGGCTCTCGTCAGGGCCACGTTGAGGCGCCGCGGGTCGTTGAGGAAGCCGATGCCCTGGTGCTCGTTGGCGCGCACGCACGACAGGATGATGAAGTCCTTCTCGCGGCCCTGGAAGGCGTCCACGCTCGCGATCTCCACCTCCTGCAGGGCGCAGCCGCGTTAGGGGGCGCCAGGGGCCGGCCATGCCCCCCAGGCCCGGGCCCAGCCTGCCCACCTGGTAGAGCTTGGTGTGCAGTGAGCCGCTGAACTGCATGTACTGCACCAGGTAGGAGCGCTGGCCCTCGTACGGCGTGATGATGCCGATCTGGTCCGGCTTGGCGCCCGCCTTCAGCAGCTTCGTGGTGATCTTCTCCACGTTGGCCGCCTCCGTCCTGCCAACACGAGGCCACAGCGCTGGGCCGTGCGCCTCGGGGCGGCCCCACGACACCAACGCGCTGCCTGGCATGCCCTGCCCTCGGCGAGCACCCGTGCCCAGCCCTGGCTCTCACTCACCTGTTGAGATAGGAGGTGCCGGAGCTGGCGATCTCCTCCTGGCCCTGGGTCACGTAGAAGAACATGGGCTTGTCCGGCTGTGGCCACTGGAAGTCAAAGCCCTTCTTCACACGGTCAGCTGTCCCGGGCAGAGGAGAGCGTCACTCAGGGCTTTCCCGTCGCCCTTCTCTGCCCTGCGCCCGGCAGGGACAGCAGCTTCCGCTGGAACTGTGCCGGGCAGGAAGCAGCACGCCCTCTAGCCTTTCTAGAAGTTCCCTGCCACCTCAAAGAACCCTTCCCGTCCTGCACCTGCTCCAGGAGCGGAGTGCGGTGCCTGCCCAACACCCATCAGGACCTGCTGCGCGGCCAGGACAGCACAGCCGCGCGTGGGGGCTCCAGCCGGTTCAGCCAGTCACTTGGAGCCTCCCCAAGGCCGCCCCGCATCCGCTCAGCCCTGTCAACCCCCACTGTGAACCCTGACGCTGTGCGCTTGCCAGAAACAAAGGCCCTCCACGTCGTACGGCGGGTGACGTTCCTCTGCTGACAGCAGGGCCCGCCGACCCCTAGCGTCTGCCCCAGCCCACCCCGCTGGGTCTGCTGCCTCCCGGTGCCCACCCTGCCCCAGGCCGGCCTGGCACGGCACCTGCGGTGACTCCATTCTGCAGCGAGCCCTCGTAGAAGATGTTGGACGGGAAGGCGCTGAGCGCGGGGTGCATCCGGTACTGCACCTGCAGGCGGATGGGCCGGATGCCCAGCACCACCAGGCGCTCGAACAGGGACTGAGAGAGCCCGGCCTTGGCCGCCTTCTTGCACATCACCACCGGGCCCAGCTGGCAGTGGTCGCCCACGAGGATCAGCTGTGTGGGAGACGAAGGCCTCAGCGCCCGCAGCACCCGCAGCGCCCCGGCCAGCAGGGGCCCACTCCCGGGCCGGGCCTACCTGCTTGGCGCCGAGCACCACGGGCACCATGCACTCGGGCTCCGTGGCCTGCGTGCTCTCGTCAATCAGGATGGAACGGAACTGCATCTTGGCCAGCCGGGGGTCGCCGGCGCCCACGCAGGTGCAGCAGATGACGTCAGCATTCTGGGGGGGAGGGCGGTCAGGGGCAAGCGGGGCCTCACCCCCTCGCGTGCCCGGACTAGGGGACAGGACACGCGTGCATTTCCACGCTCCGCGCACTCACCATGAGCAGCTCGCGCTCGGCCGTGCGCTTGAGGGCGCGGTAGCGCTTCTCGTCGGCCGACGACAGCTCCCCGGTCTCGTCCTTCAGCTGCTGCAGCTTCTGCAGCTCGGGCATGCTGCGGGGCGCGCGGGGTCAGACGGTGCCCCGCCCCCTCGTGCCCGCCCGCCCCTGCCCGCCCGCGCCCACCTGTCCATGTTCCTGATCTGGTTGTGCAGCGCCAGGAAGGACACGGGCGAGTCGATGGCCTCGCGGCTCTTGGCGCACAGGCGCACCACCTTCAGGCCCGTCTGGTGGATCTTCTCCGTCAGCTGGTCCACGGCGATGTTGCTCGGGGCACACACCAGCACGGGCCTGAAGGACGCGGGGCTCAGGGTCTGCCGGGGGGCCCCGCGCCCCTCCTCCCCCAGCTCGGGGCGAGCACCCACCCGTTGCCCTGGCGGGCCAGGTGGTAGACGATGGTGGCCGACGTGACCGTCTTGCCAGTGCCGGGCGGGCCCTGGATGAGGCTGAGCGGCCGCTGCAGCACCGTCTTCACGGCGTACACCTGCGAGTGGTTGAGGTCCGGGAGCCCCTGCGCCGTGAAGCGCTTGGGCAGCTGGCACTTGACGATCACGTCCTCCACCTCGTGGCCCAGCAGCTTGTGGTAGATGTAGCCGGACACGGAGGTCTCGTCCACGGCGAACGTCTTGAGCGCGCT